TATGCATGTCCACAACACACTAGAACTTTGTGCGATATCCTATCCTCAAACTGTTAGAAGTGCTGGTCATTTACTTCCATTCCAGTATTTATCTTATGTTTTAGTCTTAGTATTTCTTTGCTATCATGAAAACTTTTTCTTAGTGCAATTATTTTGAAACACTTAATTCTTAATTAGTATTTAATTTTCTGAATATTGCTTAATCTTAATTTTTGTTCTAAGATTTATGCTATATCTTTGACTTATAATTTATTTAAAAGACATTGTATGATATCTTCTAGTATTAGAAACTTTAAAAAGTATATTTCCATTTTCTGTTGACTTAAAAAAAAAACAATTTTAGAATGAAGACCATGGAGTGAATTTATCTTTTAAAAACCATCCAGTGAATTTATCTTTTAAAAATGATCCAGGGATGGGAAGATAGCTCAGTGGCATAAGAACCTGTCTGGCAAGTGCAAGTGCCTGAGTTCATCCCCAGTACCAAAAATAAAATTAAATTAAATTTAAAAAATACTACATGATCCTTTCGCTTAGAATGGCTAGTACTAAGAAAAAACAGAACAGAAAACAAATGTTAGTGTGGGTGTGGTGATGTGGGGACTCTTGTGCACAGTTACTGAGACTGTGAAATGGTGCAGCCACTATGGAAAACACCGTGGAGGGTCTTCAAAAACTTGAAAATGAATTACCATATTATTCAGCTATCCTACTTCTGGGTGTATATCCAAAAGCACAGAGAACTGGAACTCAAACGGTTTTCAGCATCGTTATTCAAACTCGTCCAAAGATTCGAGCAACCCAAGGGTGCTTGGACAGCTGAACAGATAGGCAAAATACAGCAGATAGACACAGAGGAATGTCACCCAGCCTTCGAAAGGAGCAGGGCTCTCGCCCAAGCTATAGCACGGATGAGCTCGATGACATCATACTCGTGAGCTCAGCCCGTCATAAGGTGACAAATGTCTGGAGAGTCAAATCCAGAAAGACAGAAGTAAAGTGGCTGCTCAGGGAGTAAAGGGGAAAATGAGTTGTCAGTGCACACAGAGTTTCAGCTTTGCAAGAGGAAAAACTTCTGGCAATCTGTTGCACAGCACTGGGAACGGAGTTAGGACTGAACACTTCAAAGGGTTAAGATTGAATATTTTATTTTATATATGTATCTCACGATTAAAAAGAAATAAAATGAACCATATGAAAAAAAATAAAGATAACAATATGCAATAAAATAGCCATTGTTAATTTCCAAAAAATAAAAAATAAAAAAATGAGCAGAGTGAGCGGAAGTCCCTGGGCACGGCCCTCAGACCTCAAGTGTCAGAGTCTCCGGGCCCGTGTTAGAAAAGCCGGCCCCCAGGCTCCCCCAACACTGAGAATTCTGGGGGTGCCCAGCTCCCTGTGAATCTGCGAGCCTCCAGATGGGCCGGCAGAGGTCAGGACACAGGGGCTGCGTGCGCAGACGCAGGTTTCCAGCCGCAGAACAGCTACACTGTACCAGGAAGGTCCCAGCTGCCGCTTCAGGAAGCTCCACCAACGCACGCAAGGCCGGCGGGTCCAGCAAAGTGCCTGTCGCAGTAGACAGCAGGCAGGCAGCAGTTCCTCAGCGAGGTTGAGCTTACTAAAATCCACTGACATTTCAGAGTGATTCTAAACACTATGCCATCGATCTCCCTGCTCTGGGAATAAGCTCTGAAGAATTGCACATGTTGATTGGTTAAAAAAAAAAATCTTTTTACTCCACTTACAAAACACTTTTAATGAATGAGATAAGAAATAAGAACAATGCCAGGCACTGCAGAGTCTGAGAGACCAGATGTGGGATGTAAACACACAGTTACCTGGAGAAGCCTGAGTTTAATCCCCAGTAAGGGGGGGGGGGGTGTAAGGATGGAGCTTGCAACAGCTCCAGGAAAGCAGCTCCAGGGGCCAGGGGCTGCTGGCCTCACACCTGCGGAGTGCTTCCTCGCCCCTCAGAGAGCAGCCCATCCAGAGCTGAGCTGCTGGAGGGGATCCAGGAGGAGAGAGTGAGGGAGGGAAGTGCGGCGCAGCTTCATGGGACCGCCCCGGGGAAGAGGCGACAAGTGTGGCCTGCAGGATGCCATTCAGCTCAGGTCAGGGGGAAGAACACAAGGAAGAGTTGATTGTAACTGCACAAAAATTTAGTTTCGAACAAATTATACCACTGAAAACACAAACTTTATTGCATAGCTTAATCATTACTTAGGCATTCAGTAAATAAAAACAAGGAAAATGTGTTAATTATAGGAAAACAGGCAGTGTATAAAAGGCTGCCACACAAGGAGACTTCTATACCCCAGAACCTCACTCTCCTGAAACCCACCCAGAACCTCCAGCCGCCGACACCATGGTCAACTCCTGTTGTGGCTCCGTCTGCTCTGAGCAGGGCTGTGGCCAGGAGAGCTGCTGCCAGCCCAGCTGCTGCAGGCCCACCTGCTGCCGCCCCAGCTGCTGTGTGTCCACCTGCTGCAGGCCCCAGTGCTGCCAGCCCAGCTGCTGCCAGTCCAGCTGCTGCAGGCCCCAGTGCTGCCAGCCCAGCTGCTGCCAGCCCATCTGCTGCAGGCCCACCTGCTGCATCTCTACCTGCTGCAGGCCCCAGTGCTGCCGCCCCAGCTGCTGCCAGTCCAGCTGCTGCAGGCCCCAGTGCTGCCAGCCCATCTGTTGCAGGCCTACCTGCTGCATCTCTACCTGCTGCAGGCCCCAGTGCTGCCGCCCCAGCTGCTGCGTGTCCAGCTGCTGCAGGCCCCAGTGCTGCCAG